TTTGGCAAATGGCGGCGGCGGCGGCTGCTGCAATTGACAGATGGCTGCTGAGGCGACAGGCAGAGGTGGTCGGTGGGCAGCAGGCGACAAGCAGAGACCGACGACCGGCGTGGGTCGACAAGTGATGGTCGATATGCTACAGGGGCCGCAGGCAACGTAGCCTCGCATAGATAATGCTTCGAAAAACATGTTTTTAAAACAACAAAAACACAATTTCTGTGTTTTTCGATGTTTTGAAAACAAGTATCATGTGTTTTAAAAATAAAATTAAAGAAAAAAACAAAACAAATAGACACATTACTTTTGGGTTTGTTTTCTATTTTTTATTTTAAACAATAAAAAATAGTCAGAAAGTGAAACAATGTGTTATTTTCAGAAGTAATTTTTTAAAATTAATATTATTTAATATTTATATTAATTACAATGGTTAAACTTAAAATTTAATGATTGAAAGCTTAGTTGGATGAAAAACGAAATTGAACTATAATTACTTAAAGTATAATTATCTAATGTGAGATAAATTATTGATATCAATATTTTCTAAAAAGAAAAAATTTAGGAGTAAAAATGTTCAAAAAGTTTAAGGTGAGCAATTATGTTTCTACATTAGAGTAATATTTCTGACTTTTGATTGTATTTTTTATTTTAATTTTTCACATTTTTTTTCTATTTGATTGAGACTTAGACTACTATTGGTGTTCATATTGTTATGTAAGAAATGTGCATGTTAACAAACTTGTATAAACATGTGCATAATGGTTTATCTGTGCATAATATTTGATCAATGCAACAAAGAATAAAATTAAAAAAGAAAGAACATAAATTCTGTGGAAAATCCAGGATGGAAAAATATTACGGGCTGAGGAGGAGAATTCACTATATCAAATAAGAGATTACAAAAGAGTGTTTTGTACAAAACAAAAGATGATATTTATTGTTTTAACAAGACTCCTAATTAAAAGAGAGCCAATAAAGTAATAGTGCATGGATTGCGATCTAAAGACTATTATAAGTTTGATCTAATGGTCAAAACTTTCAGTCTGTGTGCTCACAGTTTTCTTCTAAAACCCCAATCCATGTGATCATAATTTCTTTATGAGAGGATAAGCGAGACTCACGAAATTCGGGTAACAAATTATATAATCTCCATCTTGACACGATTTTCCAAAGAATGTAGAATAGAACTTTCTCCTCTTTCACATAGCTCTGATGATCAGGAATGAATACCAACCAAGTCCAAGCGATGCTCAGTTGACTACTGAAAGTGCTTTAGTCATCATATCAACAATATTAGCATGAGTATTGATCTTGCTCATAACAATATCATGGTAACTTCATGTACGAAGTGATAAACAAACATCAATGTGCTTAGTTTTCTCATGAAATATTTGATCTTTGTTGAGATACATAACACTGACTATCACACATCAGTGTGTTTATCTTCAAATATTCACTATGCTCTTCTCTTAGACCTTAAACTAGAGAGTTTCTTTACAAGTTTCAGTAACTGTCATGTACTCAGCTTGAGTGTAGATAATGTCATCGTTGTTTGTAAAGTAGCTTCCACTTAATCGCACAACCACCAATAGTAAACTCGTATCCTGCAAATGGTATCTTTTTATCAAATTCTCCAACAAAATCAAAATCAATATATCCAATGACTTTATTTGTAGTTCTCCCAAACTGCATACAAACATCTTTTATTCTACATAGATACATGATGATCCATTGAACCGTTTTTCAATATTCTTTACCTATATTCTTTACCCAAATTTCTCATATATCTACTACTTGTATTGATTGCATATGATAAATCTGGATGAGAATATATCATATCATACTTGAGATATCCCATTTCACTGAAATATGAAACTCGACATATATTCAATCTCATTATCAGATTGCAAACACAAAACTGATAAAAGTTTGAAATGCGCAACTAATGAAGAACTAGTAATCTTGACATTCAACACGTTAAATTTATACAACCTTTTCATTGTACTCTTTCTGATTTAAAATAATTTACTTGTGTTTCTATCTCTCTGAACCT